TTCTATCAAGACTATCAAACCACTGTGTATTTCTTGTGTTGAGCAGTGAAACATTAGCAGCCAGAGAGACTCTAAGCAGCACCTTTACCATATATGGCAGATTGAGATGCAGATGCACGCATGGTTATTCACCTAACGGCTCTTTGGTGAAGCATCTGCATAGAACAGACTCTGTTTTTGTGTGCACATGCATATCGACAGAGGCAGAGTGAGTAAGTGTTTGTGTGGGTTCAGATGTGGGGGAAGGAAGTGTACAGTGTGTGTGTGTGTGTGTATGCATGTGTGAATCCACATGTTGTTTCTCAGTAAATGCTTTTTTAGTTTCTGTCGCCAATTACATCTCTTATAGCTCAGAACATCCCTTTATGTTAAAAATTCTGGGTACAGTTTTTGTGGTGGCAGTCAAATTGACCTTAATTGCACTCAGTACAATTTACCACAAATCACATGAAAAACAAAAACCTTTTACATTAATGATACATTAATACTCACACGTTACAATTTTGTTTTATACTAAAGCATTTTAAAAAGGAAAAGTGTTGAAAAGCACTTCTGTGCTTTACTCAAGCTCAATCAGTAGAGCATGGTAAACTGAACATTCATGAGCTGATAAAAATGTACGCATTTAATGCAGTGCAAGTTTCTTCAGTTAAAACTGTCTCCTAATGGATAAATGTAAATGCCCTCAGAGGGTAGTTTAGGAACTGACATAATACTTCGGGTCTGAAAAAATATCAGGTCTGAAGAGCTATGAAATGTACGTAATTGGATGTAAAAAAATCCTAATCATAATAGAAATTTTGTATGCACATTCCATAATGCATTAAATTGTCGACACTTTGCAGGCATGTTCATGACCCTAAAAAATAAAAATTTCAAGAAGAAAATAAAAGGTTAACCAGTAAATCAGAAAAAGGAAAAAATCAGGAAAAATTCAGCCCACAACACTGCAACATAATGTAAAGGTTTTAACCCTCTTTCTTTCTTGACAAATTTCAGTTTTTCTTTTGTGTTTTTTGAAACTATGAAACTGAGAGCATGGCTGTGTGTAGGCTTGCGTGTTTCTCTATGTGTGGTAGATGCCGTAAACGGTTCAGTCTGAGATAGGTCTATCAGTCATCATAGGACAAAAAAATCTGTTGCGGTCCAAGCCATACGGGCAGCATTCAGGCACACACACATACACACACTGTTTGTGGCAATGGCATCACACTCTGATCGAAGGGATCCTTCTCTCTGTCACATCAGAGTTCAGAGACATACACACCCTCACACTTTCCCCCGGCAAAAACACACGTACACGTTAACACACTCACCACTCACTCACTCACATACACACTCTGTGGCAATGGCATCACACTCTGATCGAAGGGATCCTTCTCTCTGTCACATCAGAGTTCAGAGACATACACACCCTCACACTTTCCCCCGGCAAAAACACACGTACACGTTAACACACTCACCACTCACTCACTCACTCACACACACACTCAGACACACGTACAGCTGGCTTGAGGATGTTTATGCTTGATGTCCTCCCCATAGGAAACCGTGTGTGTTTGTGCATATAATAGTAACTTTGCTCATGGGTTGGTGGGGGAGTTGAGAGGATGTTAGCTGTTTAAATGGGCAGATGAGGTGTCTCTCTTTTTCCTGCTCTCAAAGCTTAATATGCAGAGATGTTGACTGATTCCTCCAAAAAGTGTAAAAACTATAGCTTTGAGGCAGGTTTAATTTCTCTGTCCAGCCCAACACAGTGAGTGTGAGTTTGGAACTGGATTATATGTTTGTCTAACTAATGGCTAACAGAGGGAGGGTTTGGGATAATATTGTTGCATATTATTAGTTTCAAATGGATTCACAGCACCTCAAAGGAGCAATCCACAAAATAAGTATTCTGTATTCATTTACTCACCCTCATGTTGCTCCAAATCTGTGGGACTTTCTTTCCTTTCTTCTGTGCAACACAAAAGAAGATTTCCTAGAAATTATTAAATTTTTTGTTCATGCAATGAAAGGAAAAGGTGTGTACATGCCAATGAGCGTATGTTTTCAAGTTATTGGTTGATTCTGATCTGCATATATGATAGGTTTTTGCGTCAGAGGAGGCATGCTTTGTCAGTAGAATCATGCTGCTGTCTGTGACACCCCCCCCCCGGCCGGTCGATCGGTGCATGTCTAATGTATTTGTCTGAGCACACAGAATGATGCACTTTAACTTACTGTCAATATGTGTGATTTTAAACCTTCAAGAATTTGTTAGGCAGTGCATGACACGCTATTACACCTGTAATTACAGCTTCTGACCAGCAGGTGCCTCCCTTCCTCAATAGCTGCAACAACCTGTGTGCCCAAATATGGATATGTGCAGGAGTAGAACGGCTTATTAGATGGTGTATGAAGATTGAGCCGTCAGCAGATATGACTGACAGCTGCCCTTAGGTGGTATCTCAGATGATTATCAGGTAATGATGTGCTGTGACACCCAGACAGAAGCAGCAACAGTTGCTGTGGGAGATGGTTATCTGAGGTCTGAGACAGCACGTTTAGTTCACACACGGCAAATAAATATACAGACAGGTTTTGCTTATGTTCCTTGTTTGCGTGGTGACTCACACTCCCTCTCATTCCTCCCACTCCTGCACTCAGAGACGGAGTTCTAAATATAATCTGCTTGTCTGGTTTATGAAATGCTAGTCTAAAACCCTTCTATCAAGACTATCAAACCACTGTGTATTTCTTGTGTTGAGCAGTGAAACATTAGCAGCCAGAGAGACTCTAAGCAGCACCTTTACCATATATGGCAGATGGAGATGCAGATGCACGCATGGTTATTCACCTAACGGCTCTTTGGTGAAGCATCTGCATAGAACAGACTCTGTTTTTGTGTGCACATGCATATCGACAGAGGCAGAGTGAGTAAGTGTTTGTGTGGGTTCAGATGTGGGGGAAGGAAGTGTACAGTGTGTGTGTGTGTGTGTATGCATGTGTGAATCCACATGTTGTTTCTCAGTAAATGCTTTTTTAGTTTCTGTCGCCAATTACATCTCTTATAGCTCAGAACATCCCTTTATGTTAAAAATTCTGGGTACAGTTTTTGTGGTGGCAGTCAAATTGACCTTAATTGCACTCAGTACAATTTACCACAAATCACATGAAAAACAAAAACCTTTTACATTAATGATACATTAATACTCACACGTTACAATTTTGTTTTATACTAAAGCATTTTAAAAAGGAAAAGTGTTGAAAAGCACTTCTGTGCTTTACTCAAGCTCAATCAGTAGAGCATGGTAAACTGAACATTCATGAGCTGATAAAAATGTACGCATTTAATGCAGTGCAAGTTTCTTCAGTTAAAACTGTCTCCTAATGGATAAATGTAAATGCCCTCAGAGGGTAGTTTAGGAACTGACATAATACTTCGGGTCTGAAAAAATATCAGGTCTGAAGAGCTATGAAATGTACGTAATTGGATGTAAAAAAATCCTAATCATAATAGAAATTTTGTATGCACATTCCATAATGCATTAAATTGTCGACACTTTGCAGGCATGTTCATGACCCTAAAAAATAAAAATTTCAAGAAGAAAATAAAAGGTTAACCAGTAAATCAGAAAAAGGAAAAAATCAGGAAAAATTCAGCCCACAACACTGCAACATAATGTAAAGGTTTTAACCCTCTTTCTTTCTTGACAAATTTCAGTTTTTCTTTTGTGTTTTTTGAAACTATGAAACTGAGAGCATGGCTGTGTGTAGGCTTGCGTGTTTCTCTATGTGTGGTAGATGCCGTAAACGGTTCAGTCTGAGATAGGTCTATCAGTCATCATAGGACAAAAAAATCTGTTGCGGTCCAAACCATACGGGCAGCATTCAGGCACACACACATACACACACTGTTTGTGGCAATGGCATCACACTCTGATCGAAGGGATCCTTCTCTCTGTCACATCAGAGTTCAGAGACATACACACCCTCACACTTTCCCCCGGCAAAAACACACTTACACGTTAACACACTCACCACTCACTCACTCACTCACACACACACTCAGACACACGTACAGCTGGCTTGAGGATGTTTATGCTTGATGTCCTCCCCATAGGAAACCGTGTGTGTTTGTGCATATAATAGTAACTTTGCTCATGGGTTGGTGGGGGAGTTGAGAGGATGTTAGCTGTTTAAATGGGCAGATGAGGTGTCTCTCTTTTTCCTGCTCTCAAAGCTTAATATGCAGAGATGTTGACTGATTCCTCCAAAAAGTGTAAAAACTATAGCTTTGAGGCAGGTTTAATTTCTCTGTCCAGCCCAACACAGTGAGTGTGAGTTTGGAACTGGATTATATGTTTGTCTAACTAATGGCTAACAGAGGGAGGGTTTGGGATAATATTGTTGCATATTATTAGTTTCAAATGGATTCACAGCACCTCAAAGGAGCAATCCACAAAATAAGTATTCTGTATTCATTTACTCACCCTCATGTTGCTCCAAATCTGTGGGACTTTCTTTCCTTTCTTCTGTGCAACACAAAAGAAGATTTCCTAGAAATTATTAAATTTTTTGTTCATGCAATGAAAGGAAAAGGTGTGTACATGCCAATGAGCGTATGTTTTCAAGTTATTGGTTGATTCTGATCTGCATATATGATAGGTTTTTGCGTCAGAGGAGGCATGCTTTGTCAGTAGAATCATGCTGCTGTCTGTGACACCCCCCCCCCCCCCCCTCCCCC